TTTTCTGTCATTTATTCTGTGAGCAGTTCCTTTTTATGTCTTTTGTACTTTTTCCTGCTGTCTCATGGATGCCTATCAGTCTTATTCTTCTTCGTGTCATCTAGGAGCTATTGGTTTGACTTCTTATATTACCTTACTATTTTTTTTAATTGAGTTTATTGGTACAATCTAGGTATACAATACAGTTACATTCATCATTGGGATTCTGTACCTTTACATGACAGGTCTTGTTCTCATTTTTTCCCCTTGTCCCTGCCCTCCCTTCACCCTCCCTCCCCTCCCCATTTACAAACACTTTGTTTCCATTTTTTCAGTTTCTCATATTTTTTTCCTCTCCCTTATTACCTTTCCCCCACCCTTCCCACTTTCCCTATACCTTTAGCTCTTTACTTCCTATTTCACATTATTAATTATCGTGTTAGGATCCTGTGTACTATTATAGTTTTTCACACCAAAGAAACTATTCGGTATTTCAGTTAAAGAAATCTCCGTATGAACATTAAAAATAGGGAATCCTAAAATAAAACTAAAAAGGAAAGTAAAAGAGAAAAGGCAATGATGTAACATTAAAATAATCCTAAATTCTGGAGATGAAAATGGTCCCTGAACATATTTAAATTGCTTCTCACTCTTATAGTCTTATCTTATTCTTTTTTTCATTATTTAGAGAATACTTTATTAGTTTCTGTAATCAAACCCACATAGATATGACCTTACATATTTAGTACGATGTGTTACCCCTGTACACATGGAAAAAAATAAAAAATAAAAATAAAAATAAATTAACATTTCTAGACCAATATGGTTGTCCATTTTGCTATATATACTTTTAATAGAGTTTTTAATCTCCTGGATATGAGTTTGAATCTGTTTCTTGGATTCCATTTCTTTCTTAAGTTTAGCGCTCATGGTTTCCATTTCTTTCCTATGCTGGGCATTCATGGCTTCTATCTTGGTCCTGAACTCATCTATTTTTGTTTTAATCTGTTTCTGTTCTAGAGTCTCTAATTGGTCTTTCATTCTGCTCACCATCTCTGTAGTTATCTGGGAAATTATTTCTGTTTTGAATTTCTCTAGAGCCTCACTCATCTTTTTTGTTACTTCATGTGCTATCAGTTCAGGGTGTCCAGGTGGTTGACTGTCAAGACTTTTCCACCTCATTTCCCCCAGAGTTTACCTTTGGTGAAGTGGAAGCCTGTGTCTGGGTCTTGTTTAAATGTCTTATCATTTTTATTTTTGTTGTTGTTACTGTCCTTGGTTTAAATCCTGGGTTGATACTTCAATCTTCTAGATGTAGCTAGCTGTGTGTAAATGTGGTTTTGAGTCTCTAATGACCCTGAGGCAATGTCATTTTCATTATACCAGGAAGGACAACTGATTAGATCAATCACAACATCTTAGCCCAAGTGATATAATCAGCAACACGATAGCATCAAGCACAGCTTAGAAAAATGACAGTTTGTGGTAGTTATTAATCTATCATCTTTAATCATGTGAATTAAATCAAAATCGAGTCTGGAGCTTAGGGCAATGTCCTTTATGACCCCCTGTGTCGCTGGGTGTGACTCCCACACAGCCAGAAGACCAGAGGTGCACGGGGGTGAGGGGGTGCTGGGGGGGCTGCAGGGACCCACGCAGCTCCACCTCTCACTGGTCTGCTGCGGAAGCCCGAGGGGGTGGGCCTGGGGTAGCAGGCCAGCTCCGCAGGTTCCTCCTCTCACTGGTCCACTGCTGAGCAAGAAGAAAACTTTTAAACCTTAAACTCTGTGATATGAGAATGAGGAGAGAGAAGTGGCACAAAGGATCTTATTGGGGAGTAGAAGCATGTTGATAAAATTAGGTAAAGGTAAGAGAAAAATAGGCAATTAATACACAATAAAAGAAAAAAGAGAGAAAATGAAAGAAATCATATAGAGAGTAAAAATAAGAGAGAAATAATTAGAAGGAGAATAATTAAAAGGGAGAAGAGGAAAATATAAAGAAAAAAAAAAGAGAATCAAGGAAGAAAGACAAAGGAAAATTCCCCAAGCCACAATAAACTGGTGAAGAAGAGAGGAGAAAAGAATAGAAGAGAGAAAAAAAATGAAACAAACAAAGCTAAAACCATCACACACACACACACACACACACACACACACACACACACATACACACACAGAAAAAAATAACTGCCAACAATAAGAATGAAAACAACAGAAAAAGAAATTTTGATTTTGGACATGTGATTTTCTTCCAGAATCTACAGTTTGGGGGGCAATGTCCAAGTCAAGATGTGTCCAGCTCACATTGGTAGATAAAGATGGCAGTCAGACTCTAAATCCCTGCTTGATGCAGGCACCAGCAGGTAGCAGAATTAGGACAAGACTTCCAATCTGTGCCTTTCAAATTCAGAGCAATTCAGGCTGATCCTGGCCTCTGACTATGGAGGTGTGACCTGTGTGTCCTTTACCTTCAACCCTACAGTGGGTCTCTTGCCATCCTGGCCATGGCTCCCTGACCATAGCTGTCTCCAGTGACAGTCTCTCCCCCAAGCACTTTGGGAATGTATCACTCTAAGCCTTTAATTGAAGTCATCCTGTGGCTGCTCTGAGTCCCTGGAATGGCATCTGACCAAGCACTCCCTCCAGCCAGTAAGGCTAGTGTATAGACTGGTGTCTCTCACCACCTTTTGCAGGCCACAGCATCCACCAATCTATTCTACTACCTTGTTCCTCTCTGAACATCTCTGGAGTGTAGATTCAGTCTTCCTTTCTCATGAACCATGAACTGGGAGCCAAGGAGAAAGTACACATTGTCCCTTACCTTCTCCTCATTGTGTTCTGTCTCTTAAGTTTGTCTATCAGATCCCCTCAGATCCTTCCTGGTTTGCAGGGACCTACTACCCTCTTTTTTTCTTCCCCAAGTTGTTCTTTTGCAGTGTCTGGATTCTTAATCTTGGAGAGCATGAGTTGCTGTTGATTACCACTCCATTGTCACCTCTTGTAACGTTTTCATTGGTTCTTCCACAGTCCTATTGTTCAGTTTAATTTCACTATATTTTCTGTTATGTCATCTTTGATATCACCAAGTTTCTTTGCTTCCTATTTAGTCACTTTGTGCAATTCAGCTATCTGATGTCTGATTTTTCCTTGGATGTGCTTTTGGAGAATTTGGAGTTTGTTTTGTTTTTTCAAGTGTATGTGTGTGTGTGTGTGTGTGTGTGTGTGTGTGTGTGTTTTGAGTGCTGATGTCACACAGAGTGAAGAGAATTTGTTGTTTGTAGGAGGATCTCTTTAGTTAGCTTCTGTTTTCCAGTGATGCATTCTTGGCTTTGTCAAGAGATAGGTATTGTTTACCATGTCAACTTATTCAATTTAATTGGGCTGGACTCTGTTGTGTTTTAAGGAGATTTCTACTAGTTATAACAGTGTCAACAGATCCAACAATACATCAATCATAAGCATTAAAACTTGTTTTGATAGTTACGCCCTTTTATCAGTATCCCTTACAGGTTGTATTACACTGCTATTTGAAGTTCATCTGGGATGCAAAAGGTGGGAGGAATGAAAGGGGAAGGGGACAAAAAGGGGTTTGTCGGTGTGAAGAGAGGGAGGTAAGAGAAATGACAGTACGTGAAAAATAGACAGGAGGTTAAATGCTTAGAATTATTTTTGTAGCTGGGGTAAAGGGCTAGTGTAGAGGGGATTTGAGAGAGTATTTGTGGAGCAGGAGGAGATACACAGCTGGATGGAAGTATATTTAGAGATCGAGGAAGGCTGTGAGATTGTTGGTACCTGTTAATATATTGGTACCTCAGTTTTATAGGTCTTACTTGCCTGTACATACAGATGAAGTCATAGCATTAGTAACAACCTAAATTCTGCTGTTCCTTGAACTGGGTGTTGCCACAGGACCTCAACCCCCAGTCTAAATTTACACCAGATCAAGAAATCCTTAGGTAGGGTCTCACATAACTTATTAAAGGGTCCCCTGACGATATTTTAATATTGTATAGCCTAATGGATTGGCACCTCTCCACTCCAGGTGATTGTTCTAGCACAAAAGTCATACTTTTTTCTCCACATATAGGTTTTCTGCATTTTGCACTTTTAATATCTAGTAATCTCTGTACTTTTAGTTTCTGAACAATTCACAGCTTCAGTTTTTATTTAATATATTGTTTGTTGCTTAAAGAATCATGACATTTCCTCATGGATTACACTTTTAACAATAAAAATATTCTTGGTTTTTTTTTATGCTCCTTAACTTGAACTCTTTCTCTAATTTTAGTATTGCCACACATTCTTAGCTAGTTTCATGATAGTTTTCCTTCTTTGTATGTATATTTTAGGTATGCATTAAAATATTTTAAATGTTATAAATTTATTTTTGGTAGGAAGTAGACCTGCGCTTCTCAATTCAGGCTAACATGAAAATAGAATTTTCTTAGATCCATTTTTATTGCTCAATGGAGTGAATCTTGAACTTATGATGTGATATTTTAGTTTCCATTTACTGAGAAACTTCATATGTACTCATAGGTTTTTTTGTTTGTTTTGTTTTCGTTTTTTTTTTAGACAGGATCTCACTATGTAGTTGAGACTGACCTGGAACTCACAATGTAGCCCAGGCTGGTCTCGAACTCACAGCAATCCTCCTGAACATAGGTTTATAGAAGCTTTGCAAAGACAACATGATTATTGTTTAAGAAAAGCTTTAAAGAAGTCGAATTTGACAATTTATTTGACCAAGGAATGATCCATGAATTGAGCAGCATTTGCTTTATATTGTCGTTTTGGCAGCTTTTCACCTCTGAAGGGCTGGAGGTACAGTTGCTGTGGTATGCTGAGATCCGGATATTTGTTACAAGAGTACACTTCCATGTTAGGTTACAATCATAATTTATTATGTAAAAAGATACCTTAAAACCAAATTTAAAATATGTATGAAACCGACTAAGCTAAATTTAGTATGACTTTATATACTCTAATTGAGCTGTTTCTGGGTTTGGCTGTGGGTAGGTATAAAACATTTGAAGGATTTGCCAATTCTGCCAGGCGAAATATTCAAGTATAAATGGACAGTGACTGTAGCAGATGGGCCAACGAAATCAGATCCTCGGTGCTTAACCAGATATTACTCCAGTTTCCTTAATCTGGAGAGAGATCTAGCTTCAGGACTCATTGGGCCTCTCCTCATCTGTTACAAAGAATCTGTAGATCAAAGAGGAAATCAGGTGAGTTTATCCTTTCCTAAGGTGCTCAGTTTTAAATTAAAAGTGGAATGAGATACATATGAACTTCCAAACATTTCCTATACCCTCTTAGTGTATGCTCCCTAATGGCCTCCAGAAAATATAGCAGTCTGCAATATAGTGTGCAATAAAAAAAAAGAAATTGCGTTTCATTTAGTTTTTGCTAAATTTGAATTTGATGTAATTAACTTGCCTGCTGGCTGGATGGAAGAGCCAGGACCCTAGATTCTTTCTATACTAATCGTTTTCATTCTGAGACTTAGCTGTCTGGATGCCCTTGCCCATTTTACATGCCAATTAACATATATTTTTGGATGACCTACAAATTTACATCTAAAGCCTACACTTCTCTGAACATTCTCAATATGGGTGATTTAAAAGCACCTTAAAATTAATGCCCACAGCATGTTGCATAGTGAATGGCATTCAGTAAAAGTCCAATAAATATTTGTTGAGTCAAGTACAGAAAATATTTCAGAAGATGGTTTAAATTTTGACCACTTCTACTGCTTTAAAAATAAAGCTAAATTAATTAATTAAAATTTAAATATCAGTAGCTTTGTGGAAGGGCAGTTACCAGATGATTGGAGTTTAGGATCGGTGCTAATTTTGTTTGACATAAATAACTTGAATTTTTCAATGTGGGAAAAATTTTTCACCAGCTGTTCCTCAAAGTTCTACTATCTAGAATATATAAGGAACTAAAAAAAATCAGACCTCCCAAATTTGAAGACCCAATCCAAAAATGGGCCTCTGAAATGAACAGACATTTCTCAGACAAAGAAGCAAAAGCAGTAAGTTAACATATGAAAAAATGTTCAACATCACTGGTCATTTGAGAGCTGCAAATTAAAGCAACGCTGAGATTCCACCTCACCCCAGAAAGGATGGCTGTTATCATGAAATCAACTAATAACAAATTCAGGCGGGGCTGTGTGGAGAAAGGAACCCTTCTCCATTGTTGGTGGGAGTGCAGACTGGTGCAACCACTATGGAAATCAGTGTGGAGATACCTCAAAGAACTAGGATTAGAGTTCCCACTTGACCCAGCTATTTCCGTGCTGGTTATCTTCCCAAAATAATTGAAAGAATCCTACCATAGTGATATATGTGTACCCATGTTCCTAGCAGCACAATTCTTGATAGCTAAAACTTGGAAGCAGCCTAATTGCCCATAAATGGAAGACTGGATAAAGAAAATGTGGTTTTAAAAAAAAACTCAGCCATAAAGAACGAGAAATTAGACATTTATAGCTAAATGGATGTACATTGAGGCCATACTCTTAAGTGAAATAAATAGGACAGATGTGTAAATACCGAATAGTTCCTCTAGTGTGAGAAACTGAAAGTGCAAATATGGACTAAAAGGTATAATAGATAATGTGAAATAGGAAGAAAAGGTGCAAAGGGGAAGGGAAAGCGGGAGGGGTAGTGGAAAAGAAAGAAAGGAATGGAATTAATCTGAGAAAAAGAAAAAATAGAAACAAAATCTTTGTAGATAGAGAGGGGTGGAGGGGTTAAAGGGAGGTCAGGGGAGTGGGGAAAATATGAACAAAGATGGATTATGTAAAAATGAAAATTCCAATGATGAATGTTATATTGTATAACTTAAATGTACCGCTAAAATTAATTTTTAAAATTCTCTAATCCACATGTGGAGAGAATGAGGCTTAGACTACCAAAAAGTCAACCAACAAGTGGTCTCAGACTCAGAAGAAACTGAATTTAGTGCTTCCAGTCACCCTCTTGATTTGAGGACACCATCTTAGCTCTAAACATATACTTACTGCTTATAACACCCACCTCCATTCCCAGGCTCTGGTTCATGCCATAGCAGTGACCCTAAGAGGAAATGGAACCAAACATTGCTAGTTTCTATCTGATGGTATCAGTAGCTTTTTTTTTTTTCAATATAAGGGGTTGAATCTAGGGCCTTCATTCTGAGCTACATCCCCAGTCCTTTATTTTGAGACAGTGTCTCCCTGTGTTGCCCAGGCTGGCTGCAAGCTTGTGATTCTCCTGCCTCAACCTCCTATAGTGCTGTTACAGGTGTGTACTGCCGTGCCTGGCTAGTAGCATTTCTTTCACTACATATAATTAACAGATTATGTCAGACAAGAGAAATGTCGTCCTGTTTTCTGTATTTGATGAGAACCGAAGCTGGTACCTCACAGAAAATATGCAGCGCTTCCTCCCAAATGTAGCTGGAGTGCAGGCCCAGGATCCAGAGTTCCAAGCCTCCAACATAATGTACAGTGAGTAAAGCATCACTTCAGTCCAGTGGGTATTGGGTAAAGGGAAAATGATGCCACCAAACTTATGTCCAGACAATGGATTAATTTAAATGCCATGCAAGAGTCATGTTTCTTTAACAATTATTATCTATAAGTACCTAAATAAATGTGGTCATATAATGAATATTTTAACAATCCAGTCACCATTTTTTATTCCAATGTTTACTTGGATGCCCCTCTTGTTTTTATTCTATCTTCTTCATTACACCTTTTCACCAACCATACCATGTTTAGGAAGCTCATTTTAAAACATATAATACATATATTCTGTTGGTTATTTAGGGTTTCCATAACAAAGTATTGCAGAGATTTTATTGCTTCTCAGTTCTGGAAGTTAAATGTCTCAGATGAAGTTTTCAGCAGAGTTGGTTTCTTCTTTGGCCTTTCTCTTTAGCATATAGATGCCATTTTCTCCCTGTAAACTCATATGGTCAACCCTCTGTATTTGTCTGTATTCCAATCTCTTCTTATTAGGTGACTATGGTCCACCCTAATGACTTTCTTTAAACTAATTGTCTATTTAATAACCCACCTACACAAACAGTCACATTCTGAAGTCCTGGGGGTTAGGACATCCACATGTGAATTGGAAGTGGGCACAATCCAGCATATCACCTACATATGTGTATTCTGTATATATACACATAAATCGGAATGGTCAAAAGTATAATAGAAAATTTCAATTTCACTACCCTACAGAGAGAAGCAAAATAAAATACCAAAGAGAGCTCTTTATACCTATTCACTGGCAAATTTTTAACATTATTAGTGGGTTTCTAGGTAAAAGGGTACAATGTTAATGAATAACTAGTGTAAACTTTTTCTAAGCACATTGGAGTTCATCCATTAAAATTAAAATAAATTGGGCCAGGGATTTAGCTCAGTGATTGAGCTTCCTCTCAAGTGCAAGGTCCCAAGTTTGATACCCACTACCAATAAATAAATAAATAAATGCCTTTTGAAGTTCTGATTATTGTTAAAATAGAGTAAGCACATGTTACCCTGTTCGTTTCACCAAATGAAACTAAAACTTCTGACCAAGAGAATGGAGACAATGTTGGAAAAATTATACTGAGGGTTATACTTACCTGCCCATATTGGCTTCTGTCATAATTCTGTGCTCCTTGTCTTTGAGTTTTAGCTCCAAGTTGTGCCTCATATTTAGCTTGAATTTCTAGTAGTAATCAAAGGACACAATTAAAAAGACTAGGCTAAGGACAAAGATATTGGTCAGTAATAACATGCATAACACCCTGGGTTCAATTCTCAGCAATACAGAGGGGAAAAAGACTGACCATACTAAGTGTTAGTAAACGTGGAAGAAGAAGATGGAAACGTGATCACCTGGGCTAAGGTTTTCTTTTCTGTAACTTACAGTTTTTCCCTTGTAATTAATAAATACTTTGTAGGGAAATACTTTGAAACCATACAAATAACTTGCCGCTCATCAAATTGTCCTCCATCTAATGTAGCATTCAGATCCACCTTTACCGTGATACTCCATGACTTTCTCCTTACTTTGCGACCAAGGCCCTCCTGACCAAGTATCAATAGTCTACTTTTTGGAGAGGTTTAATTCTATCTTCCTTTAAGAGGTAATGAGCATAACATACAACAATTTCTAATTATGTCACAACAAGCATAATTTGAAATAATTTCAGAAAGCTGTTGAACTTCTTATTATCCATTGCTTTGCAGGCATCAATGGTTACATTTTTGGTAGCTTGCAGTTGTCTGTTTGTTTGCATGAGGTGGCATACTGGCACATTCTAAGTGTTGGAGCCCAGACTGACTTCTTATCTGTCTTCTTCTCTGGATATACCTTCAAGCACAAAATGGTCTATGAAGACACACTCACCCTATTCCCATTCTCAGGGGAAACTGTCTTCATGTCGATGGAAAACCCAGGTTAGTTATTTATATAATCTTTTCACTGACAGCTGTGCTTGCCTCATTAGCCACTTATATGCTCACATCTAGTCAGATAGTAAATAATTCAAATGGTTTTGATATGTGATTTTGATAGTTGCAAGGCATTTTAATGAAGGAACCAACTCAAATATTTAACATAAAAGTCTTTGCTCTAAAAAGGTGTCTTAGCTATGGACAAACTTTTTAAGTGCGTTTGCTAAACTGCACCAGAAAACATATTTATACATGTAATGAACATTTGGGAACCAAATATATTTCTGTGTACCTTGTGAATTATTTGTGTTGCTAGATAAATACCACCTGGAAGCCTTTGGAAAGCACATAGTAACCTTCCTTTGCACATAAACCCCCAAACCACTCAGGGCTTTCAGAACAAATGTGATACTCAGCTCCTCATTCTCCTTCTCCTCCAATAATTGCTGCAAGGCTTTTTGAGATCACTATGCTTAGCTCCAGCACATACTGTGCTATACTTATACTGCATAGGAATAAATGTTAGGCTATTCCACATTTCCTGTTCCCTCCTACTACCATCATCTTCAGAAGGAAGCACATAAAACCACCTGTAGATTAGAGTAATTCTCCTTTTCTGAAGGTAAGTCCTCATGGGAAATTTCTAGAGAATAAAAACTAATTTCATAATACTTAAGCATATGCTTACCTTCATACCAGGAAACTTATCTTACTTCAAGTGATGTGTTTTTGTGGGCTGTGAAGAAAGTAGAACCTGGCAGAACCCCAATAAAACCTTTGAAAATATCTTGCTTGTTTGTATTTGTGCTTATACATGCATTACCTGCCCCAACTAAGTTGTAAGCTCTCTGAAGGAAGTGTCTATTTTGTTCAGCATTATGGCCCAATGTCTACAGTACTTAGTATATAGTAGATTCTTAATAAATATTTTGAATGAATGGACTATGTGCAAAAATATGCACAAAGGCATATGTGGCAGCATTATTTATAAAAGTGCTAGTAAACCTTAATAAATACATGTCCAACAGTAGGGGATCTACTTAGATGTGGCTCATCTATATTATGGGCTCCTATGCAGCCATTGAAAATATTGGAGTGGAAGAATATCTAATGACTTTGGAAATACTTACAATTGGGTGTAATATAACATAACATAACATAATAGTTGTAAATGTCTAAACAAAAGAAAGTGCGTGTGTGTGTGTAGGCAGAGAAAAATATTAAAGATATGGATATTTTTAGAAACTTTGAAGATCCTTAAATCCTAAAGACAAATTAAAACTCTGTTTTATATGCCTTTATTGAAAACTTTTAATATAGTGTCATTGATTGCCAAACTCAAGCTAGATGAAGCTCCTTGAGAATATTTCATGTGTTCATTGTGGTTAAGTCTGGTCATTTTTATTTGTTTATTTCATTGAACTAAAATTCACATAACAGAAAACTTAACTGTTGTTATTATTTGAAAGTACACAATTAAATAACGTCCCAGTCTTTCACTATTATGTAACTATCACTAGCTTTTTTCTTTTTTCTTTTTTTTTTTTTTGCTTTACTGTTTTATCTTTATTCTAGATGAGACCCAAAATCAGTTCTGTACTGTATTTAATATGCTGGACTTCCTCATGAGCTGTCTAGCTTTTTTTCTTTTATTGAGTTCATTGGTACATTTTAGGTATACAGTACAGTTACATTCATTATTGGGATCTTGTACCTCTACATGACAGGTCTTGGTTCTCATTTTTTCCCCTTACCCCTGCCCTCCCTTCACCCCCTCCTCCCCTCCCCATTACAAACACTTTATTTCCATTTTTTCACTTTCACATATTTTTGCTTTTCCCTTATTAGCTTTCCCCTACCCTTTCCACTTTCCCCACACCTTTATCCTTTTTTTTTCCTATTTCACATTGTCAATTATCTCATTAGCATCTTATGTACTATTATAGTTTTTCACACCAGAGAAACTATTCGGTATTTACATATGTATGACTTATTTATTTCACTTAGGAGTATATCCTCAAAATGTATCCATTTTCCTATGAATGAATCTAATTTCTCATTCTTTATGGCTAAGTAGTATTCCATTTTATAGAAAAAACACATCATCTTTATCCAGTACTATCGCCAGTTTTTAACCCCAGAGTATTTCATCATCCATAAGACAAACCCTATCCCCTGAAAAGGGCCCTTCCCATTCTCTCCTCCCATAATCCCTGGCAACCACTGATCTAATTTCTGTCTCCGTGAATTTATAAGTTCTAGATATTGTAAATTGAGTCATACAGTATTAGTTCTTTTATGCCTGGCTTATGGCACTTGGCATAATGTTTTCAAATCTCATTCATGAGCTTTTTTCATAATTTTGGTTTTTAGCAGTTTGAATACGATATGTCTAAGCTAGAGTACTCTGTGTGTGTGTGTGTGTGTGTGTGTGTGCACTCGCACGCACATAGGCACTTTGATGTTCTGTAGTCTTCTACAATGTGTGATTTAGTGTCTCATTAATTTGGGGAGCTATTTGTCAGCTTCCCCTCTTCAAATATTTTCTGATTCCTTCTCTCTCTTTTTTTCTAGATTACAAGTGCATCTATGATAAGCTGTTTGATACTGCCACACTTATATTGCCACGCAGCTCTTGGTTATGCTCTTTGTTTTCCCACTGTTTTTTCTTGTGTTGTTCAGTTTGGTTAACTTCTATTGACTTAATTTCACTTTAATAATTCTTTCCTGGGCTGTGCTGAATCAACCCATGAACTCAGAGATGAAGTACAGTTCATATGCAGATTACTTGTGCATTTTTGTGGTGCTGAAAATGGAATCCAGGGCCTTGCAATGCTAGGCAAAGCTCTACCACTGAGCTACAATTCCAGGCCTTTTTATTTCAAGGCAGGGTCTCAATAAATAAGTTGCCCAAGCTGGCCTCAATTTGTGATCCTTCTGCTTCGGCCTCCAGAGTAGCTAGAATTACAGACATGTACCACTACACTTGGCCTTACTTGTACTTTTGATACACTGTCTAAGAAGGCTTTTAGCCTAAGGTCAAAAATGTTACTTCCATATCTTTCCAAGAGTTTCATAGTCTTAGCCATTATACTTATGTCTATAATCCAGGATAAGTTAATTTTTTTGTATGGTGTGAAGAAAGAGTAGACTTTTCTTTGCATGTAGATATCCAGTTGTCCTACTACCATTTCTTAAAAAGATGGTTCTTTCCCTATTAAATTGTGACATACTAGTTGATAATCAATTATCTACAAATTTGAGCATTTATTTCTGGATTCTTGATTCTGTTCCATTGGTGTATATATTCTCTAAATTTTTCTAATTCTATTTCATTCTTGTTTTTTTAAAGATATGCTCATTTCATTAGTTTGATTAAAATTATGGCGATGTATTTGATTACAAGCTTCATCTGCTTCCTGGTAACATTTTTCTGATTGGTGCTTTTCTTTTTGTTTTTGTTGTTCCATTCTCTCTTTTCTCTTGTGGCATCTTATTCCTTTTTGTGACTATCTTTCTAAATATGCTTTTTGCAGAACACTTATGTGAATATGGAAGTGAAGCACTAGGAATGAGTTTCAGGCTAGCACAAATTCTCTTTATGAAGGAAGATTGAGTGTGTATGTGAGGTTTTTTTGGTTTTTTTTTTTTTTTTG